CGGGTGGGGGGGGGGGTCCCCTCTCTGCCTGACAGATGATATGTATTATTTTGGGGTGTGAGCTGGTCTCCGGGTGGGGGGGGGGGTCCCCTCTCTGCCTGACAGATGATATGTATTATTTTGGGGTGTGAGCTGGTCTCCGGGTGGGGGGGGGGGTCCCCTCTCTGCCTGACAGATGCAGCACTGAGCCCCCATCCCACCTGTTTTCCCAGGAGACCTTGCACACACTGAGGCCACGTGGAGGTGGAAGGCCACTTTCTCCGCCTCGACTGAGAGGAGCCCCGCCCCCTACATCATCCCCAGACCCTCTGTGAACTTTCACCTTAAAGTCACAGCTCGCCTGTCCCAGGTACATGCAGAAGCCCTCTAACGCTGCCCCAGGATGCCTTATTAGAGCTGCCTCTTCCCATACCATTCAGCTGGCTGTTCTGTCAGATGAAGAGCCCAAATCTCCCAGCTTATCAGGATGCAAGAAGGATGAGTGCAAGGCTCAGGCAGAAAGGCAGGGACTCTACATGCCCTCAGGACTCGATAAGGCTGTCACCCCGAGCAAAGACACCAGCCAGCTGGGCCTTACAGGTGCATCAGGAAAGGGGAGGGAAGGAAAGGTGTAGTGCAGTCCGGAGGGGCGTCTCCGGCACCCAGCCCTCCTCCATTCAGCAGTATGGCCACTTGTGTCACAGTAAGCTTGTCACTTTATAAGCGTCCCTTTCTGGGTGTCTGCCAGCAGCTGAGCAGGTGGTGCTGTACACACCACGCGGACAGTCTGAGTAACGCTGGGGGTTGGGGGGGGGGGGCACAATGCAATTGACACACTGATTCTAGCACCAAAAACACATTCACATGGTGTTGCAAAGCAGCTGGTTCTTTTTATCGGCCTTAAGCCTCCTTTTGCCAAGAGAAGGAAAACATTCAGAGGCATTGTGGGTATTTCATTCTTTCTCTTCTGCATTTTAAAATCAGTTTATCCTTCATGGCACTTGGATGCAGTCATGCTGGTGGGTATGTGGCTCCATTTGCCCCTGGTACTCTAGATAATGTGGCATCAAGGATGCTACTTGAATCCATACATGTATGATTCTCCAGTCCCGTCAGACCATCACAGTGCACCTTGTATTGGACAAAATAAATAAAAACGGAACAATATTGAAGTTCAGGAAAATGTGTGGTCAGAAACATTCTTGGATGCTAACTATCTGAGCTTAGGATCTTGGGAAGGTTCTTATGTGCTGCTGATTCATTGGTCTTCTATCCTCCAGCTGATTACATCAATATTTTCTCAGGCTTTGTTTTTTTGCAAAATGTTATTTAAAAAAACTGTTAAAACTGCGACCAGGCCTGCAGCCATCCGAGATGTTGGCTCCCCCACCCACTCTCTCCCTCCCCAACACACGCTCTCCCCTAGACCCCCGCAGAGCATCCATGACGGACGCAGTGATGGGGACGAGCTCGGAGCGCTGGGGCCCCCACGGGAGGCAGTCGCGCATGCCGGCCAGGTAATCCACCAATGGAGCATGCTTTGCAGAGTGTTTTACAGCCAATCCCGTGAAGGGAAATTAAAAATGGCCGGGTGGAAGGGGGGGAAAGCTCAGCAAGAATATGGGGATTGTAAGTCTCCTGGAAAATGGTTTGTAAGAGTGACAAATCACAAATGAAGACGTTAAGAGTATCAGGGCGTGGTGAGCATGCCCCTGTTGACGGGATTAGCGTTGTTGGGATGCCGGTGCTGGACTCAGGCCACTGAGAGAGTGCATGAGGACAGCAGCATGGTGTCAGGATGCCTTAATGATGGCAGCATGGCTGCCTCTAATCTCCTCCTCTGTGGGTCTCCCCCGTGCTGCAGTGATAAGGACCAGTGAGTAGACGGCTGCCACTCTGCGTGTGTGTGTGTGTGTGTGTCTGTCGCAGTCTGCCAGCGTCTCCATACTACAGACAGACAGCCTGACGCTGTGCAGACACTTGTGGGGGGGGGGGGGCTCTCTGTTTTGCGGTAATGCACCATACCCTCCCCAGCACTGTGGGAGGGGTTATGAAACTGCGCAAAAAAGTCGGAGTCCGGCATTGACTGACATACCACATGGCTGCCGGCATACAGGCTTCTGCATATGTATGTGTGTATCTGTATGTGTGTGTGTGTATGTATGCATGTGTGTGCATGTGTCCGTGTGTCTGTCTGTCTGTCTGGTAGTGTGCGTGTGTGTATGGATTCGGTTTATATTACATTGTGTTATTCTGATGTTGTTTTTCCACTTAATTATTCAGGTCCCCACAAAGATCTGTGAATGCAATCAAAAAAATTAAAATGTCAAATGTCTTGTATTTTGTTTGGTTACTTATGGTCAAGGTTAGGGCTGGGTGGGGAGTAAGTTCGTCAGGTTGAGATTAGAGTTTTCCCCATAGAAATGAATGGAGAGTCACCACAACGATAAAATTACAAGCCTGTGTGTGTGTGTGTGTGTGTGTGTGTGTGTGACAATGCTCGCCCCCCCCTGCCACCTGACCCTCCTGCTTTCCTGTTTCCCGGAGGGCTGACTGGACGCCACAGCCCAACCCTCCCCCCGGGGACGACCTGACCGATGAAGAGAAGGAGATCATCAACGGCGTCATCGCTCGGGCCGAGAAGATGGAGGCCATGGAGCAGGAGAGGATCGGGTGAGGGATGTGACCCTCCGTCTGACCTCCGTCTGACCTCCATCTGACCTCCGTCTGACCTCGCCACTTTCAGTTTGACTTTGAATAGCCTAGAAATATTTGATTGCATTTTTGGAGCCTGGTTATACTATTCCTACATTACTTGTCCAACATTTCCTATTTTTTTTTTCATTGCCTTTGCTTACTGTTGTGAAACAGCACTTGTAAATGTAAAAAATAGTTGACATGACTCTTAGAAATGTTCCTGTATTACTTTTTGTACTTAATGTAGGACAGAATAGTATAAAATGATCATTAATGAGAAGATACAATTTAAGTGTCCTTCAAACATGCGGCTTCTTCTGCCTTCTTGATTGTGACCTCCAGATCACCACAGTGAGAAGACGAGATGCTTACATACAGGGGCAGGCCTACTTTTCAATATTAATAGAGAAAATCAATGCTCTTGTTTGATGTTCCCTGGTAGCGTGTTTTGTTGCTAGAATTCCACCAACATTTGACTATGAACATTCTCACTGTGATCTAAGTGTGAGCGGTGTTGCTGTGCTGTTGGCATTGTGTGGCTCTGTGGCTGAGGACGCTGTGTCTGTTATCAGAAGGTTGCTGATTCAAATCCTAGATTCGGCAGAGTTCACTGTTTTCACTGTTGGGTCCCTGAGCAAGACTCTTCGTTCCCAGTTTCTCCAGGGACTATGTGACCCATCTTTTTATCGTATGATGCTTTGGATAAAAACATCTGTTTGTAACTTGTAACTGTAAACTATTGAAAGAAGAAGGACAGACAGTTTGGATCATAGTTAAGGTTACAGATAGAATTAGGTGTTATGGTTGATGGAATAACTGGGTTAGAGATTAGATCTGGTGGTTAGAGCTGGAGATGGGATAACATGCTTTTTTAAGGTTAGAGGTTAGAGATGGGACAGTGGACATAACCTTAGTGTAATTCTGGTTCTCTGTGTCCTCATGCAGCCGCCTGGTCAACCAGCTTGACACCATAAAGAAGACAGTGTGTGGGGACGGAGTGTCACGCTGCCTGCTGTGTGGGGAGCTCCTGGGAGCACCTGGGGTCAGCTCTGTGGTGTGTGAAGACTGCAAGAAGGTGGGCTTTGTTTCTTGGAAAGCTGACGTGATCATACCCACCAGTAGATGTGTTGGTAAGCCAACTGGTCAACAGTGCTGAGAAGTTCAGCCATCCACAAACCTATCTGTAACCAACTGACTGATTCCTCTAGCAGAATATTCTTGTAGAGTATTCAATCACCCAGAAGTGGGTTGAACTGGTCTCAGTGGTTAATATACTGGTAAAGTACAGCTGCACCTGCAAGAGAAACCAGTATCCGTGTGCCTAAAGAAAGGAAAGCCCATTTCAGGTCTATGGGGGTGTCTGCTGGACTGCTGTGATTAGGGTTCAGACCCAGTGGTGGGGGTAATTTTCCTGTGTCCTTCTCTTTCTGTTGTCCATAACCCCTCTTTCTGTTGTCCATAACCCCCCCCCCCCCCATCTTCCAATCCGAAGAACATGTGCACTAAGTGTGGCATTCAGACTGGCCGGCGTCCTCGGGCTGTGTGGCTCTGCAAGATCTGCGGCGAGCAGAGAGAGGTGAGGGGGCGGGGCCAGATGGGTCAGCCTGTGAGCAGAGAGAGGTGAGGGGGCGGGGCCAGATGGGCCAGCCTGTGAGCAGATAGAGATGAAGGGGCGGGGCCAGATGGGCCAGCCTGTGAGCAGATAGAGATGAAGGGGCGGGGCCAGATGGGCCTGCTTATGAGAAAACACCCTCTCCATGACACATAAGAAATGATTCTTAAGTCCTACTCAAGAGTTACCAATGTTGAATTCAGCTTGTAGGGCACTTTAGAAGCCAAATGGTTTTCTGGTTGGCTGTGGTAATGCCCACTAAACATTTGTGCTGCGATTAACCCACTTCATTAAGCAAATTTAATGCGTGAGAGGCGAGAGGCAGTGGATGTTGCTTTGACCCATAATCCAGAAATGCCTAGACCAATCACAGGCATGTTCACTATACAGACGCTCCTCTACTTACGAATGAGATACGTTCTGAACAGCTATTTGTAACTTGAATTGTTTGTAAGTCGTTATTCAACATCATTTTACGGGTATACGCAAGTACAAAGAACTAGGATGCTGGGAGTACACCACACTACACTGCTGGGAGTACGCACGCTACGCTGCTGGGAGTTCGCACGCTACGCTGCTGCACGACGGGAGTAGCGGCCAGAAGTCGTACGAGGCGGAATTGGAGTGCAGAAAAAAAAATTGATGTTGCGCACAGGAAACGGGAGCCCAAGGAACACAATTTGGGCTTACAGTCCTCTTCGTTGATATGTCTGAAAGTTCGGAAGTTGAATGTTCGTAAGTAGAGGAGCGTCTGTATTGCCAAAAGTATTGGGACACCCCTCCAAATCATTGAATTCAGGTGTTCCAATCACTTCCATAGCGACAGGTATATAAAATCAAGCACCTAGGCATGCAGACTGCTTCTGCAAACATTTGCGAAAGAATGGGTCACTATCAGGAGCTCAGTGAAGTGTGGTACCGTGATAGGATGCCACCTGTGCAATAAGTCTACTCGTGAAATTTCCTCACTATTAAATATTCCATGGTCAACTGTTAGTGGTATTATAACAAAGTGGAAGCAATTGGGAACAACAGAGACCTCACAGATGCTCTCCTGGAAGAATGGTCAAAAATTCCCATAAACATAGACCTTGGGCACATCCTTCCCTGAACAGTTGAAGCTGTTATAACTGCAAAGGGTGGGCCAACTGCATATTAAAGCCTATGTATTAAGAATGGGATGTCATTAAAGTTCATGTGTGTGTAAAGGCAGGTGTTCCAATACTTTTGGCAGTATAGTGCTTGCACATTAGGAGATATCTACCAGTTGTCAAAGCTGATACTGATAGTCACCATTCTGTTAAAAAGCATCTACAACCCCAAAGCATGACCAACTGGTGAAAATGTGGCATTGTAGAATTTTTGGAAATGTGTTAAAAAAATCTGTAGCTTATAACACATATAGGGTGGCTGAGTGGGTAGCGATGCAACCTCCCACCTTCAGGATTGTGGGCTCGATTCCCCTTTCTGGCTCTCTGTCTGGATATTGCACATTCTGCTAGTTTTTTTGGGTGCTCTTATTTTCTGCTGCAGTTCAGTAACATGCAGTTAGGTGAATCTGTGTCTCTAAATTACCCTTAGTGGGCATGAACCACAGCCAGAGCTACAGTGGCACCATAGACATTTACACATTACCAATTTCCCTGATATCTGCGGATGGTTGGCAAAGCTGCAATCAAACCTGTGGTTAAGGAGAAATATTTATGAACTTGCATAGCTTGATGTGTTGAATATTCAATTAAAATGTGTTTTTAAGGCACCTTAATTCATTTGAAATATTTCTGATTTTTGCAAGGCTTCTGTTTTGATGTTTGACGGATGCAATATCTGATCTGGGGCAGAGTCCAAGTGTGTCGGCACTGGCTAATTAGCCAGCCTGTTTGCAAACTGCAGTGTTCAGATCCTGGTGAGCAAAGGGATGGAGGACAGACACACAATTAGGAGGCTGGAAGCTAACATACCTCACGCATTTGCCCCCCCCCCCCCCCGGACTCCCAGGTGTGGAAGCGCTCCGGGGCCTGGTTCTTCAAGGGCATGCCCAAGCAGATGCTGCCCTCCCCCATACCCATCTCCAAGAATCGGGAAGCGAGTGCCCAGCCAATTCCCAGTGCCCAGGAGCCTCCGGGCCCCGAAGCGAGGGCCCCCAGTCAGCCCAGGACACAAAGCAGGGGTGAGTGGGGGGCCTTTAACAGTCATGGTTATTCATTGCATTTGAAAGACTGAGTCTGATGTAACTTTATCCCCTTCTTCATGCCATAAGACCTCATGTATCCTAACCATCTGTCAGATACTAATTAAAAGGTAAAGTATATTGATTTATATTTCATAGATATTCAGTGTGACATTAATTGAAGGTAGATGATGAAAGGAGCTGCTTGACCAACCAGGGTTTTTATTTGGGGTGAGCTCTGCGCATGGGGACAAAGTGGAAGACCAGGTTGACTAGAGGCAAGAGGTGTATTCAAACTAAATGTTTTTAAGAAAGACTACAAAATGTGACTTAAGTAGACTGAAAAGTGAAATGACTAACTTGAAAACAAAAAACATGGCCAACAAAATCTAATAAAATAACTCCAGCTTCCATCTTTTTCTCACTTGTCTTAGACAGTTTTATTTTATCAATTTTTTCAAACATGATGCAAACCATTTGCACATATACACAACTAGGTACAGTCCCCAAAGCGATTCAGGTTCAGTGTCTATATAACAGAAGTGTCCATTCGGAGATTAGAGCCTATACCCTTCTGGTAAGTTCATGCATGTATGCCTAGGCCCAGTGGAGAGCCAGAGCCACAGTTCTGAGCAACAGCTGACAGGTGAGCAGCCAGCCCCTTCAGCCCACCTCAGCCAGGGCTCTGCCTGCTTAGGACCCACCCCTGACCCATCAGCAGTGGTGTCACACACATAGGCTGCTTATGAAATGGCTTCCATTCCTTGATAGTGCAATATATAGAGAGTTTAAGCCATTATATAATGCACTATAAAATACCCATAATACACTGCAAATTGTAGTGTACAAACCTTGTACACTGCAATGCTGCATGTATGCCATAAATAGGTGTGTCTCAGCTCAGCCCAGTCCTCTGAGACCCCCAGTCAGTCCATATTTGTTCCTTCCCAACAGCCATCACATCTGTCCCAGGTATTATTTGATTGGTTGATTCAGGTGTGCTGGAAGGGAGCAAAAATGTAGACTGGCTGGTGATAAATACTACATGATAAATAATTTAATAAGATAATAATATGATGGTAATTTGAAATTAAGAACGATACATAAATGATGGGTCTACACATCCATCATTTTATCCCCTTTATTCCATTCATGTTGTCACCCTATTTTGCTATTTGCAAATGTCAGCTGTCAAAGGTTGCTAGGAAACCAGCATAGAGCATCTTGGAATGCAGCCTCTGAAAATGTCGTCTTCTTTCCCTGGCTAATTCCCTATATAGTGAACTGCATAGATTTCTCTATATAGGGAATGGTGAGTAAGTGAATTCAGCCATATTCTAGAAGATGACCTGCAAGCCCAAGGCCACAGGGGTAATAAAATTGCATGTCACAATAATTCTGCTCACTGCGCCTTTGTTTCTTTATTTCTTGCATCACTTCCTGTATGGCCATGGACAGGAGCCTACTTTGAATGCATGATTATGTCAGTTCAGCGTTCTAGAGACACATCTGAATGTGTCTGCGTGTGTGTTGCAGAAACGCAGCCCTCAGGCCGAGGGGGATATCCTCCTGTGCCCCCCAAGCCCACTGATGTGCAGCCAGGGCGAGGTCTCTACCGTGGGGAGAGCAGCGACGACACTCAGGGCAGCCCTGTGGTGCTGAAGCGGGCTGTTCCCGTGCAGAGCTCCAGGCCCCCCCAGACACAGGCAGCGTCAGCCAAGGCTGAGCAGGGTGAGACCCCAGTGCTCCCCCCAGTCATACAACAACCGTTTAGAAGGATTTAAATAAGTGATTTTACTGATGACCCGCCGACCCCCTCCTACTCTGTCAACATAGACTTATGTATATTGTTACTCTCCATTTGTATATTATTTCTGTTTTAAATAAGAAAGTAACCATCCAACTTACATAATGGGAAAAAAAGCTCTTCTGGTTCTCAGGTCACCTTTAAATCAAATATTTTCAATACAACACGAACCCAGTAAAGAGATGATTAATCAAACAGTTAAAGAGACTAAAAACTGCAGCCCACTGGCACTTACATGCTATGATTTAGTGGAGAGTGAAGCATGACCGAACTCTCTCCTTCTAGCCCCAATGGAGATGGAGCCCAATTACTCCAGTGCACCAGCTCCCCTCAGAGAAGAAAGAGTGCCATCTGGTGTCCAGGAGGAGAGGCGACAGCCTGCTGCCGCTTACAGTCGGGCCCCTGTGCGGCACCAGCCCCCGCCCCCGGAGAAGGATGAGGAGGAGGAGGCCAACAGCTATGACTCGGATGAAGCAAGTAAGGCGAGCTGTTTCCTGAGAAAATGTTTACCTTTGACTTTAGACTCGCTCAGCCCACTGTGGTTTATCTGGTCTGGCGTTTATCCTTTAGAAAGAAACAAATTGTAGTCGTGGCCAAATATTTTGAGAATGACACAAATATTAATTTTCACAAAGCCTGCTGCCTCAGTTTTTATGATGTCACTTTGCATATACTCCAGAATGTTATGAAGAGTGATCAGATCAAGTCCCTCTTTGCCATGAAAATGAACTTACGAATAATCCCAAAAAAACCCATTTCCACTGCATTTCAGCCCTGCCACAAAAGGACCTGCTGACATAATTTCAGTGATTCTCTCGTTAACACAGGTGAGAGTGTTGATGAGGACAAGGCTGGAGATCACTCTGTCATGCTGATTGAGTTAGAATAGCAGACTGGATGCTTTAAAAGGAGGGTGGTGCTTGAAATCATTGTTCTTCCTCTGTTAACCATGGTTACCTGCAAGGAAACATGTGCAGTCATCATTGCTTTGCACAAAAAGGGCTTCACAGGCAAGGATATTGCTGCTAGTAAGATTATACCTAAATCAACCATTTATCGGACCATCAAGAATTTCAAGAATTCAGTTGTTGTGAAGAAGGCTTCAAGGCCCCCAGGAAACTCCAGCAAGTACCAGGACTGTCTCCTAAAGATGATTCAGCTGTAGGATCAGCGCACCAGCACCAGTGTAGAGCTTGCTCAGGAATAACAGTAGGCAGGTGTGAGTGCATCTGTGCGCACAGTGAGGCGAAGACTTTTGGAGGATGGCCTGGTGTCAAGAAGGGTAGCAAAGAAACCACTTCTCTCCAAAAAAAACATCAGGGACAGACTAATATTCTGCAAAAGGTACAGGGATTGCACTGCTGAGGTGAAGTCATTTTCTCTGAAGAATCCCCTTTCCGATTGTTTGGGGCATCTGGAAAAAAGGTTGTCCGAAGAACAAAAGGTGAGCGTTACCATCAGTCTTGTGTCATGCCAACAGTAAAGCATCCTGAGACCATTCATGTGTGGGGCTGCTTCTCAGCCAAGGGAGTGAGCTCACTCACAGCTCTGCCTAAGAACACAGCCATGACTAAAGAATGGTACCAAAACATCCTCCGAGAGTCCCAACCATCCAAGAACAGACTGGTGATGGACAATGCCTTTCCAGCATGATGGAGCACTGTGCCATAAGGCAAAAGTGATAACTAAGTGGCTCGGGGAACAAAACATCGACATTTTGGGTCCATGGTCAGGAAACTCCCCAGACCTTAATCCCATTGAGAACTTGTGGTCAATCCTCAAGAGGGGGGTGAACAAACAAAACCCACAAATTCTGACAAACTCCAAGCATTGATTATGCAAGAATGGGCTGCCAGCAGTCAGGATTTGGCCCAGAAGTTGATTGACAGCATGGCAGGGCGAATTGCAGAGGTCTTGAAAAAGAAGGGCCAACAATGCAAATATTGAGTCTTTGCATAAGCTTAATGTAATTGTCAATAAAAGCCTTTGACACTTATGAAATGCTTGTAATTATACTTCAGTATACCATAGAAACATCTGACAAAAAGATCTACAAACACTGAAGAAAACCAACAGTTGTGTCATTCTCAAAACTTTTGCCCATACTTTTTACCGTAATAAAGGACTTTGAGCCTTGTTCAGTATGTGTTGTACAGTGAAGGGTGTTGTAAAGAGGGGGGAAATTTGGACAAATGACAGGGATCTTAAAAAATTTAAACTATAATTGGATTGGTTGGGGGCCCAATATGATATGCTTTCATGGGGGGCCAACATCTCTAGTTGCACCTTGTGTACAATGACTGACCTTCTTTAATCCAGACTGTCATTCATTCATGGCACTTTGACTGTAGGTAACATTTGGCTTGTACGTCTCAGACTTGAGTTTTGAAATAGCCGATGTTTGACCTGTTTATCCTGTCTGGCCTACATTTTTTATGTATACCGGAGATTTTATTCATTTATTCCTCTTTTGCTCTATTTCAGCCACTCTGGGCTCTCTTGAATTCACCCTTCTCTATGAGCAGGAGAACAACAGCTTGCACTGCAACATCATGAAAGCCAAGGTAAAGACGAATGTCCAAGTGGAACATTCTCCCCGTGTTCCGGCAACGGTCACCCACTGCACCTGTTTGGAAATTGTGCTGGCTTTGACCCTGCCATCCTGATACGTGAATCTTTCTAGATGCACACTTTGGAGTCAATAATGTCAAGTAGTGCAAATGAATATCAAGCTAATAATAGCTGGAGTGCACACTCAGAAGCTTTTTAAAATTTTGCACGAAATCTGTGGAACATCAGGGCTGCAGAGGCACTGGTCACATGACTAGTGTCGGGATGGCCGAGTGGTCTAAAGGCTCGGGGAACCCTGCACAGTCCACATTTTTGCTTCATCTGGACTGGGTTGGGAGACACCGGTCTGAAGTGCCAGACTCAAGAGTCAATACTGCCTAGTGTGATGGCTGTTTTGGACTCTGGTTGGAGGTGTGGGTTCAAATCCCACATCTGACAAAAAAAGTCTAATTTTATCTTATATAAACAATCCCATACACCTTTGCTGGGGGGGGGGGGGGGTTAGTGCAGCTTGACTAGAGGCAGTTCCTGGGCAGAGCAGCTTTGTGTACCCAAGCAGGACAGGTATTTTGGGATCCCCTGAGACTTCTGGGGCTTTGGGTGTGATCTGTGTCCAGCTTGATGGTTAAACTACATGTTCTTCAGGCCCATGCTTGTCAGTAGGACTACAGTGTAAGAGTCTCCTAGGGGTAGTTTTGATTGATGCAATAAAAGGTATACTAATGATAAGCTGTTTTTTTTTACCCAGGGGCTGAAGCCAATGGACTCCAATGGGCTTGCAGACCCCTATGTCAAGCTGCACCTACTGCCTGGGGCCAGCAAGGTAACAACTGTTTACCTTTCTTAGAAGGGAGCTGTTCTCTGTGAGAGTTACTGCAGTGCATTGTGGGTAAAGGTTAGTTAGTTGGCCAAAGCCCAGTCCTCCAAGCAGCGGGCTCAAAAACTCATATTGTGCAATTGCACAATGATAAGAAATAGAGAGGTCTGGTGGGTGATGAAAATATACTTGTTTTGGGAGCTCAAGTACTGGAGAGCCAAGAGTTATGATCTTAGGAGACTTCCAGACTGTGTGGCATGTGGGATGAAACCCCAAGTGAAAACACAGCCTGTTTCCTTGGCATGCTCAGTCCACCAAGCTACGCACCAAGACCCTGCGAAACACTCGCAACCCGACCTGGAACGAGACACTGGTGTACCACGGCCTGACCGACGAGGACATGCAGCGTAAGACGCTTAGGTGAGCTGGCTGGGGGGGTTTCCTTCATTTGTACAGCCCAGGTAGCTGCCTGCAGGGGCTTTTCTCCAAAAGTACCATCTTTGATTGGATTGTAGGTCACAGGCTCCAACTTCTCAAAGAGGCTGCAGCTGTTATGTGGCACAATTGTTGAGTATAAAAAGATGTTTTAAGGCTAAAATATATGGAGTCTTCTGCTTTAAAGCCCCTGGGAGCTGGCATTTCTAGGCCGTTTTATCACAAATACTATAGATCTACCCTAGTTTGACTCTTCAGCATTTGTGTAACATTCCAGTTATGAGGCCAACAGGTTTGGTTTGTTTTTTAGGGCTTCAGCAGATAATATCCCGTCAAGAAAGATTCAAGATTCCTCTATTTGTCATGTACATAGTTATACAAGTACAACATGTAGTGAAATGTACACGGCTCTTACTCATTGTTACTTCCTGCGCCCACTCTGCTGCATCTGCCTCTCTGACGTACAGACAGCATGTTACAGTAGCCTCTTCACCTGAACATCGTGCCTTTCGATCACGGAGGAGTCATAGTGGAGTTTAAGAGACTGAGCATGGCGGATATTTCATACCAAACTTTGAGGTTATGTGGTTCCTACCAGTCAGGCAGAACTTGAATATGTTGGTTTACATGAGGAGGTAAACGTGATCAAAGCCAGAATTCACAGCATCATTTACTACAACGTTGAGTGTCTCTATATGCTAAATTCCAGAACATTCCAGGGAACCCTTGGGAAAGTCCACACTGACAATGTATTAGCAGTGTACTCTATACTCATGTATAACTACACCAAGCCATAATGTAAATGTAATATATATTAAATGTACAATTTTTTCAGGATTTCCGTCTGTGATGAGGACAAGTTTGGTCACAATGAATTCATTGGTGAGACTCGGGTGGCGTTGAAGAAGATGAAGATGAACCAGAAGAAGAACTTTAACGTGTGCCTGGAGAGAGTGGTGCCGGTAAGATAGCGCTGCACTTGCTCAGTCCAGGAGGGTCAAGTCAAGACCATTGGGCTTTATTGTCATACCATCGATATATAAGCATACAGTGGCAGGAAATAGCATTACCCCAGGACCACAGTGCGACTTACAACCGCAGTGATGTGGGGGGGGTTCAAGTTTTTATTATGTTATAATATAATTATGTTTATTATGCTGTAACCCCTTCAAGTTGCTGAAAATACACTGCGTATGTTTGCTGGAAGACCACCCATCATGTTTTTCCTCATCTTTTCTACTCTTTTAATCTTTGTTTTCAAGTGAAATTATAGAATGTAAACCTATACTGCACAGACCGAGATCTCAGAGGCTCGAGTCACATGACCAGCTAGGTGTGACTGATCAGTCACATGACCAGCTAGGTGTGACTGATCAGTCACATGACCAGCTAGGTGTGGCTGATCAGTCTCATGAAAGTGGATGGAGGGGCAGTAGGGCTTCAGAGTGGTTTTGGCAGGGAGACAGGACAGTTATATGTACTTTTGTTTTGTTTTTTTCTTTGTAGGCTATTTAGCAACATGTTTTCAGTGTTTTTGTTTGTTATTTTGGCTTGAGTTGCCATCCCCCCCCCCCCCCCCGTGCACTTCTACCACTATTGTGTTGTGTGCCCTTTTCCTTTATATTGTGGCCTGGCCAAAACCGGACCGTAACATAAATCTGATCACCATGTTATAATAGCTAAAACCAGCAAGGACAGTCTCTTCTCTGTGATTTCTGTGTCTGCTTGACTGTGAGCTATGCTCCATGTTTTTGCTATTACAATTGTCAAGCCTGGACCTCTCATTGTAACAAAGCTGAAAATGTATGCTATGATTTGATGGGCGAGCGTGGTGGCGGTCACATGACAGCAGCTGTGTCCTCCCCAGGTGAAGCGGACGGCAACCGGGGGAGGGGCGCGTGGCATTTCACTCTATGAGGATGAGGTGAGAGCTGTCCCCCCAACCTGCCCCTGTGGTGTTAGCATTGAAACGTTAGCACCGTGTAACTGCTAGCTTTTATTGGTCTATCAGTGTGTCTGCGCCCAGTGTCTCTGTTTGCGTGTGTCCCAGCATTTTTAAGTGTGTCATTGTACCAGAATGCTGTACCGCGTGCGTCGCAGCATGTGCCTGTTCAGTGCTTCTGGGTTTTCAGCACGTTGGCCTTGCCCCCGGCCCCCACTCCCATCCTGCTAGTTGACCTCAGCTCTGCCCGCCGGTGTTGAGCTCTGTTCTCTCCCTGGCAGACGGGGAAGGACATCGGCGATGTGGAGGAGCGCGGACGCATTCTCATCTCTCTCATGTACAACACCCAGCAGAATCGGCTCATCGTGGGGGTGGTGCGCTGCGTACACCTAGCCGCCATGGACGCCAACGGCTACTCAGACCCCTTCGTCAAAATGTAGGTTCCTGGGGGGGGGCTCCATTGTACCTTCCACATCTCTGCCCCAGGCTGCTGCAGCCTGTAGCAAGATGTTCTTACTCATCACTGTTAATGTAACATTTACAAATAGCTATTCGCTTAAAGTGGGTCTTTCCCACGTCACATAACATCTGTGCCACCCTGGGAGATGTGGTGAGCTCTCCGGACACGTGCACTGTCAGCAACCTGCCTCTTTTTACTATAGATGCAGGTTTTGTTGCGTGTCCTGATACCATTCATATGCTCAGCCCTACTGACGATGCTGCAGGCGTCTAGTTGCCAGTAGGTGGCACAGTAGAGCAACAAGAGACAGATGGACCTGGCAGTTTTTGTCGCGTGTTGTTCATCATCAGCATCATTATGCGATTTGTTACAAAAAAGTAGATTAAGCTGATATGGGAAAAATGCTTAAGTTCACATCTCCCACTACACTGCAGTTGCCTGAAACCAGACATGGGTAAAAAAGCAAAGAACAAAACCCAGATCAAGAAAAAAACCCTGAACCCCGAGTTCAATGAGGTGAGTTTCCCTTCTTGTGATCTTTGTGTTGGCTCCTGGACACACACACACACACACACACACATATATATATATATAGTACTGTACATCTTTATTTTACACAATGTATGTGTGATGTGTATATGTGATGCACTCATTTTCAGGAGTGTCCTCTGGTGGAGGATGTCTACTTTGGCATGCTATTATTTGCAAATAGAGCACGTTGGTTGCATTGCAGGAATTCAGCTATGACATCAAGCACAGCGAGCTGGCAAAGAAGACCCTCGACATCTCGGTGTGGGATTATGACATTGGGAAGTGTAACGACTACATTGGTAAGGCCGGTGGGTGGAGTCAGTATATCCGTTCGTGGTGTGTTGTCCGATCACATCCTGCCACTCTGCCCCACCTCTTTTAGGAGGATGCCAATTGGGCATCACAGCTAAAGGAGAGCGTCTGAAGCACTGGTATGAGTGCCTGAAGAACAAGGACAAGAAGATTGAGCGCTGGCACACACTGATGAATGAGAACCACGTGTCCAGTGACTGAGCCCTGCTGCATGTCCCCAGCACATCTTGGTTCCACATGTTTCCCAAATTATTTTTTATTGACGCTCAGTGCTGTGCCATCAACCAACATGGCTACCGCTTATATCCTTGTAACCCTTGGCTGTAGTCATGCTATCTGTCTGACCAAAACCTGCAAAGAAATATCACAGGCCACAGGTGTGCTTTTTGCCCCCAGGTACAAAAGAGATGTTTCTCCTTCTTGGAAGGAAAAGCTACTGAACCATGACATAATATATGTGAAAATCAAACAGTGCTAGCTACAGTATATATACGCACCATGCAAGCACTACCTGAAGTTAGCCACAAACAATAATTTTAACTCCTGAATTCAAAAGCTGGATTCTTTGTGGTTTCAAGCATCATTGTACATCACCCCAGTAAAATCAGCAAACTTGGTAAAAAGACTTGCAAGCTTGAATGAATACAGGATGGACTTTAAGGTCCACTGGATGTGACCCAGGGGTGGGTCACTGATTAGCACTTTTGCTTGACACATCCAGGGCTGAGGTGCTCGAGTTTCCTCCTGCAGTCCAAAGACATGCAGTTCAGCTAATTGGCATCTCTATATTACCTGCATTGTATTGCATGGTGTATGTGGACTGGCCGTCTATCCTGGGCGTAGCCTAGCTTCGTGTCCTGTGCTGCTGAGGATAGGCTCCCCTGTTACCTTCACAGGGATAAACAGTTAGAAGATAAATGAATGTGTAATTTCTAGCAACAGACAGAGTAGCGGCACAAATCCTTGTTTTAGGAGTTTTAGGCACACAAATCAACAGCTTGCTGTTATAGACGTGGGATTTCACCTTTCGGATTACATTCTGCTGCTGCAGTTCTCAAGAGGTCCTTTTTTAAAAATAATAAAAAAAAGATTCAATTATTCTTTTGTTGTTTTGGTACCACTTTACAATAAGGCTCCCTTTTGCTACTTGTAAATGGTAGTAACTCATTAATAAAAACAAAACTAACTTGTTTAAAATTGTCTATTAATTTACAAAGTGTTACAACCTAATTAATAAGATTATAAACCATTCATAAACTCTATATGGGTATCGTTATTGTAGAGTGGCACCGTTGTTTCTGTATGAGGAGAGAAAATAGTTAAATGTCTGCGAAGCAGTTTTGAAGATTCTATTTTTTTTCTTATTATTATTATTATTATTATTATATTACTACGGGAAATTATGTAACCGTGGAAGACTGCAGGAAAAAAACTGGCAAAATATGTATAAAAACATTCGTTCTCTAAAGGTGTCTTGATGCGAAAACCTCTGATCTTTCAGATGCCTTTCCGAAGATTCGTTTCCGTCGAGCTTTTCAAAAAAAACTGTGATATAACATGCACCTTAACACATTTCCGACGATTTGTGCGTGATGACAAAACGGAAAACCTTTGGTGATAATGCTTTTTTTGAGCCGCTGTAGGTAGTTCCTGATAGCTCTGCCTGTGTTGCATGCATAAGCTGTGGTTGGTGGCCGTGGTGTTTGTGCAAAGAGCTGCCTTGGACCTCTGACCAGATCCACGTAGACAGGGATCTGTTTACCCCACCCTCCAGCTCCAGCGCCTGTCGATCACAGAAGCTTCTGTGTGCAACACCAGACTCGCCGCGAAGGAAAGCACACGCTATAGTACAATGGAATGACCTCATACTTTTTCATCGAAATCTGCAAGTTTTTTGGATCTCTATGCATGACTGTACCGCTTTTCCCGATATAGAACATTTTTTCGGTTTATTACAGATTAAATTCCTCTCTTCATTTTAAATAGATGTGAACGTTTTTCTGTATTCTGCAGTTTTTCTTTTTCTTTTTATCTTTCCAGTGTCTTCCAAGCCGGTGTTCTGTCGAGTTGAGCTACTTTGTTGAGTTAGGCTATGTTGGAGCACGGCGTCTCCACCGGGTCCGTGGATGAGAAGAGATTCACAGCTGACACGGGGAGAAGTTGCAAATCACCGGTTTATTGTCTTGACTGATTATAATCAGGGAGCGGCCGTCTGACATACATTCAGCATGTACAGGAGGAGGCTCTGCCATATCCTAACTCTTTCCCTAACCCCCCAAAAACCCTTACCTTAACCCTAACCCCTAAAACCTAACCCTAATCAAAAGACAGTAGGACTGTACGTGTCCAGAAAGGCTCAATTGCACGTCTCGATAGGTAGCTGAACTTGTCAGAACACCGGAACATAACATTGTCACAACATTCCCGTGACGCTGAAGTTTTAACCGCGACTCCTCGGCGTCAGTGCTGCGCTGTAACGACCCTCCTTATGTCATCTCCCAGCTGAGTGCACTTTGGTCTTTTAGGGCAGTTTCCCAATCTCGGGAACCCACAGACAGTCCGCGTATTTGGTCCCTCCCAGATAAAAATGTGGACTGTCGGAGGGAGCAAAAACGTTGATCTTCTGCGGATCCCCGAGGACCGGGTTGAGAAACAGTGTTGTAGGATATGGAGCTGTTCAATCACACCAATATATTTCAGTCAGTTTTCAAACGATAAATTTTACCCTTAAAAGCATAACGTTTTGCCGAAATAAATGTTAAAATATAAAAGTGATAGTGTCCATTCAGATGCATGTATAAATGTGTGGTCGTAACATACATGCCTGAACACGTGAGTCTATTTGTATGGAATGTATATTGAAATCTGTTCCCTACGTAACACATTTTTATTGAAGTGGGTATAATCTGAACGTAACAGTTACTAAAACATTATGAGGATTACGTGTAATGTTTTGTATGTAAAATGTTTTAAAGTTGCTATTCTCAAGTAGAAAACGAAAAACGTAAAAAGGTGATTAAGTAATAAGTTAGGTAATAGGATTACTGTAGGTTTTAAGTATTGAGTTACGCAGTTAGCTGTTATATATTAATTTGTCGGTGTCTCATAGAAGATCTAGGGGTGCACTCAGTTTTAAGGACATCTCCACTCACCAATGTTTTACCTATTTATCCGTTCCCTGTTTCATTTAGAAAAGTTTTATTTTGCACATTTGTAGGCTATGTTCTGCCTATAATGGAATGAATTGTGACTGACTTATTTGTACATAGTGCATGTAGAAGGGAAGAAACTAGTATGTTTGCTATTGAATTTGCATGTAAAATTTTACATTGGATTTGGTTTATGTAGACCAATAAAAAGATTAAAAGAGCCTATTAAGACTGTGGGCGCGAATGATCTTTTCATTCACAATCGTCTACAAGTAAAATGACCCAATAAAAAGCGCCTACAGAAACCTGTGTTAGTCTGGAGTTGGAGCACCACATTAACCTGATTAACTTTTTCCTGTACAACCCATGCTGTGCACAGTCTTAAAACAATATACGTTACATAAAACAAATTATAAACAAAATAGATTAAAAATGCAAAAATATACCTTCCATATGCATATATAAGGAGAGCCCCATATGCTACGGACCCGCCCAAACCTTTACCTAACCTAAGGCAAGAACACTCCTCCCCATCGTCTATTTTCATACCACAAAAACGCATAGGCTACTTCTCGTGATTTAATGAAACTCTCATCGTATTCCGACATTTACTGTATAATGGCACCACTTTTAAAGTCTGCATTCAGACTGGATTGAAAACGTTTAGAGACGCAGTAACACCTGCAAATGAGGAACTTCTCGTGTGGCTGTGCAGCTGTAAACGGCTGTTTTCTTCCCAGTAAAATGTGCCTCAATAGTTTGTAATTTATTGTACCCTTAATGTTGTTTAGTCTGGAAATGACAAATTCGGCACAGCTCTATGTAGTCTCGCTGCTAGTAGTTCTTGTATTTTTACAGAAATACGATGCAGCCACTTCCTCGAAAATGGACCGAGATACCATTAACTTCTGCTTCTGGAAGAGCTCCGCCGCACATGGCGCTCGATACAGCTTCCTCCGAGAATCGGCGGGGGTGCATGCCGTCAGGTCGCTGCAGTTGTATCAAAGCACCTGGACTGAGGAGCAGCGACTTGTGGAGTGTGTTTTAAGTGACCATCCCTCTGTCACTGGGAGCTACATGTCTCTTTGCCGCGGAGATCTCGCAGATGAATTCAGTGATGAAACGGACGATCGCTTTAACATCAGCCAGCTCCTGATACCTGGGGGACCCTGCGTTACACTGCCCGCCGATGACCCGCTGGACGTACAGGTCACACCTTCCCCTACGGCTCCGACGCTCCGGCGCCACAAGCGATCTTGGATTTTCCCCGGAACACTTTGGTGTGGCACAGGGAGCAAGGCGATGGACTATGGCGATTTAGGTAAGTAAATAAACTGCCTAAACAACTAATAGTGAAGGACGAGTGAAAACCAAAGAAGAGTTATGGCCAAATATGGCGATAGAATATGGCGTTGGCGTACTGTAGGGGGGGCCTGCGGATCTCGACTTATTTTTTTTGGTAACTAATAAATAGATCAATGTCTACTCAAATATTACATATTTAATATATATTACACTTTTGGTTAAAATAATACAATCTATAATAAAATGTCTTAAATTCGGCCGATCGATCTGCCGGAGCGATACCCCCTTGCCGTCGATCGGTAGATTTTACCGTCAGCACTCCCCCCCCGATCAGTATGTGTTATTGCTGGCACCGCGCGCTTTTATTAGCATATTATTCGTGTTCTATCGTTTTTAATTCTCTATCGTTTCTCTTTCGGCCCCAAAATATCGCTCAAATTGCCCACTTAGGGGGCCCCCTAACCACGTTAGTCTAGGGCCCAGAGAAGATCGTCCGCCCCTGACATAAAAAATTTAAATATGAAACTACATTTATATTATTTTTTAATATTTTAATTTGTAGGCTATATAGATAGACTGTAGGCTGAATATAACTTCTCTTAGCGGTTAATGCTAACACACCGGACCCTACCTGCAAATCACGAATATATTTAGTCTTATTTTGAAGTTTGACATCTTAAAATAAGAAATCAAGTTAAAAGTTTCGTAACCATGTTGACTTGATTCGCTAATTTTGTTTTAATCAACGGTCGCTCATCATTCAGGTTTTTAAAAATCGCTTTGATTGGCTGTAGAAAACCGGAAAATGACCTTTGTGTTTACCCTTGATAATATCTTCTGCCAAAAGGTAGCTCCTTCATGACATCCATCCATCTTGTATAACCACTCATCTAGTGGCTTTGTGATTTTAAGTTTGAGCCTATCTTAGGAAGCATCAGTGCTGAGCTTGAACTGCTTGCGGACATCTTGAGCTCCTTGGAAAATCTGTGCTGAGATGTTCCTAAATACTTCCTCACTGGTCCATTACAGGCGTGTTTAACCAGACGGACCAATGCTGCCGTGAGCATGACCACTGTGAACACACCATTGCCCCCTTCAGGGTTAACTTCGGCGTCTTCAATCACCACTTTTTCACCGTGTCGCACTGCAACTGCGATCGCAGGTGAGTTAGATCAGCACGAGCAGAGTCATCCCTTGGGCTGTGCCGTCGCATTCCTAACCTTTCTGGAATGATCTATTTGGCCATAACTCTTCTGTGTGTCATTTGACGCTTTCACATGTGATAAATACGGGCGATTATCATCCATCACTCAGCCTAAACGTAGAGGTCATTGTTAAATAATTTTGACCTAGAATCTTCCATCACAGTGACTGGGAATGTGCTCCAGCTTCTATTGCATGTTATTTTTCAAAGCAGAGGTTTAAATTTGATTGTAATGATCCAAGGTAATTGTTAACTGCCATGTTTGAGATTATTTCAATGCCCTGGTTGTAACGGACTGATATCATCAGTGCATTGTTATCTGTACACCCCCTTTGATAACATCTACACTGCTTATCATCACCCATCTCCACTGGTCTTCTCATTAAACTCTATTATAGATGTTTTCCTTCTTTAGAGGAAACTGTAATGTCATATAAAGTGTATCTATAGTAGTACATAGTATGAGAAACCCAGCTTTAAGTCTAACAATAGGTATATTTATCACTGGCCTAACTCTCTTCTGATTGGTTAAATGCAATAATTCCACCTGTTATGAGTGTCAACACCTAATCTCTACCATCACCAATGTATATAGCACCCGAGTTCTGTGGCCAAACAGGGAATCATGTGATCTGTCAGCTAAGTTGTTCCACAAGACAACCTTCCATAACAAAGCAGATTACAGAGCATACTGTTAAAGATTATTGTCATTATTGTCATTAACAGATACTTTGGTGTCAAAAAACTTACATGACTCATATTTTACAGTTTATACAATTATACATATGTATGTATTTTTATTGCATTGCTTTGGTCAGAGGTAGAAAAGGAAGTCTCAAGTCTTCTCATATGTCAGGCTGCCCAGTGCCCACACCCATGGTGCGCCTGTGCCTTCTTCTGGCAGGTTCCGGCAGTGCCTGCTGGAGGTGAATGACACCGTCTCACACATGGTGGGTTTCAGCTTCTTCAGCATGCTCAAGGTCCCCTGCTTCAGACTGACCAGGAAGCCATACTGCACCCAGCTCAGCTGGTGGGGAGTGTGAGTGCCAGTTCTAGGGCTGAGCTTGGTGTGTGTGTGGGAGGGGGGTCACATGTGGGACTGCTTCTAGCATGTTGTTGCACTCGCAGACACTTACTACTGAACAGATAACAACAGAGGAGTTTAGCTAGTATCATGTGCTGGATCTCAGTACAAATCTGTCTTCCTTTTACTTTTCAAATTGCATATACCTAACAGGACCCCTGCCCCAAAACTGGCTTGTATGTATAGGTGATTTTTTTTTTACCAGAGGGACTGTTGATAAGTGTCTTTCTGAAGAGCACTACAGAATGGCATCTTGGGGCTTTGGGCCAAAGCCATTTTCTTTACCACTAGACCACCATAAATGGGTGGCTTAGAAGGGGCTTGAAATATTTTTAGGGCCTGACAAATGCTTTTTATAAATGTGAGTATCTTATATTGGCATTGGGCTGCATGGCGCAGGTAGGAAAAAGGTGACAATCCACTTAAAAACTCCAAGACAAAGGGATTTATTGGGGAGGCGGAACACACTGGGTGAACTACAAAGCAAAAGGAGCATGTGAGGTCAAAAGCAAAACGGGGGAAACAAGAACAAACTAAAAAAAATATTTTTAAAAAATTTAAGAACGAGGAGAAAAGAGCAACACAACACACAGAAACTTCAACACAACAACTGGTGTGGAACATGACAATTAACCAATCAACCGAGACGCGGAACAACAAGCAACAGGTGGAGCGAGTTACAATAATGAACATAGAACTAGGAATTTCTAACAAACACAAATAATACAAACAAGGACAGAAGTGAAAAGGAAAACAGCAGGGCAGCCTATAACCAGGGAAACAGAAAACAAGAAATGATGGAGAACAAAACTAATAAATATAAATAAACTGACTTGAAGGGGTGGTGCAGTGATTAGCACTGTTGCCTCACACCTCTGGGACAAGGGTTCAAGTTTCCACCCGGGTTACATGTGTGTGGACTTTGCATGTTCTCCCTATGTCATTGTGGGGTTTCCTCCAGGTACTCTGGTTTCCCCCCACAGTCCAAAGACATGTTGAGGCTAATTGGAATTACTAAATTGTGTTCTGGGTTGTTGCCTGCTTTGTGCCCATAGCTTCTGGGATAGGCTCCAGACTCCCTGCGGCCCAGAAGGATAAATGGCTGACTTGAGGCTGACTTGAGACCAACCTTAAATCCATAACTAAAGGGTTAACAAGCCACACACTCAGACCTCTGAGGTATGCAACAGTTTGGGAAACAGGCAAAACACAATATGGTTTAGAAAGGCAAGAGACGGGGAGGAGGACAAGATGCCATCAACACCTGCTGGCCAAATGGGGAGGAGACACAAAGGGCAGGGTGGGGCAGGTGTTGACCTTGGCAATTGGTTTATATCCAAATGCTTTCATGATTTCCAGCTGTGACCTTTAGATAGAAGTGTTTGGTTTTTCCGGACAAGTCGCATGAGAAGTAGGGAAAAGACCATGTGGATTGTAGTGCTTGCACAGACCTGCTTGACATGAGGCTAAGCTGATTGAGCTCATTGATCTTGGCCGAGATGACCTCTTCACCTTTGCCTTTCTCATAATATAAATGGCATGTTTTAAACTAGGGCCTCCTTTAACTGTGAGCAAGGGACTCAGGCATAGCAAGAAACTGAAATTATTTGAGGCATGTTCCCTTCCTGTAGGAAAAAT